AAGGACAGGGTTTCTCTGTGTAGCCCTGGCTGTCCTGGAACTCACTCTGTACACCAGGCTGGCCTCGAACTCAGAAATCCGCCTGCCTCTGCCTCCCAAGTGCTGGGATCAAAGGCGTGTGCCACCGCCTGGCTGAGAAACCCTGTCTTAAAAAACAAAAAAACAAAAACAAACAAAAAAAAAATGGTTATAAAGACTTTGTATATTGTCATCCCCTTTAAAGATAGCACACCAGGGAGTATGCCTAACCATCTTTAGACACTCCCTCCATGTCACAGGCTGCTTATTACATGTGGCTCGTGATTCCAGGCTCAAGCACGGACATCAGCGAGGACTGGGAGAAGGACTTTGACTTGGACATGACTGAAGAAGAAGTGCAGATGGCACTTTCCACAGTGGACGCCTCTGGTGAGGTGAGTAGGTCTAGTTAGCAGGACAGAGCTAGTCCATGAACAGCAGGGTAGAGGTGCTTTACCAACAAACCTCGCCACCCCTGCAGGGCAAATCCCTGCATCTGTTAGAGCTTGCAGGAAGAGAACTGAGGCTTTACAATCAGGACCATGACAGTTATCACTGGACTCTGCTGCTGATCAGTTCTAGGGTGTGTGCATGGATGAGTCCTTGACCTTAGCTCTGTATCTGAGTCACTCAAGGAACAAGAAAAAAAAAAAAAAAACCATACTGAGCACAGCATGGTGGCACACATGCCCAGTGTGACCCCAGTGCTCAGTAGAAGCACGGGGAAGTCACTGCCTAGAATACATAGGCCTGGGTGAGGGGGGTGTGGGGGGGAGACTGGTCCTGGCCTTAGGACTTAGGAGACCTTAGCAAGTTCCTGGCCTTGGAGACAGAAGACCTTGGGCTGAGTCATTTAACATCTATTTCCTCATCTAAAGTACCAGACTGATAGTAGCTGTCTTAGAAGCTGCAGTGAGGTAAACCATGTCACCATGTAAGTGGGTGCCTGTCATATGATGTCATTCATAGACAATAATGACCGTAGTTTACGTCCAAATTGGGCCTTTTACTGTTTTTAGTCTTTGCCACCTCCCCATTTCTGCCTGAAATGACTTGGCACAGCTTTAATCCTGCCACTCAGGAGATGGGGCAGACAGATCTCTGAGTCTTAGTTCAAAGCCAGCCTGGTCTATATAGTGAATTCTAGGACAACTAGGGCTACACAAGAGATTTGTCCTATGAAGGACTTGCTAGCTTATGTCTTTTAGCTCTCTTTAAATCCAAATATGCTTGGCTGGGAATATGGTTCTGTGGTAGAACATTCCTCAAAGCTTCAGGAGGTCCTGAGTTTGATCCCCAGCTCTGAAAGAATATGCAAACATACAACAAAACCTGGCCTTCGGTACACCTGAACCCCAACTCAGGCCCTCTCTAGCAGGAGTCAGCTGAGAACAGGCCAGCAGTGACAAGTTAGATTGCAGAGCCCGAGAAGCCCTGTGCAGAGAGAACATTCCCCAACAAGAGGGCAGGAGGGAGTCCATTTGACCTATGACAGGCACACAAGTCCAGACTCTCTAAAGCTTTAAAGTTAACAAAAGAGTTTTAGCTAGGTGGCGATGGCATAGCCCTTCAATCCCACCACTCCAGGAGGCAGAGTTCAAAACCAGCCTGATCTACACAGCAAGTTCCAAGACAGCCAAGGCTACACGGAGAAACCCTATCTCAAAACAAAACAAACAAAAGAACACCAACCAAAAGTAGACATTAGCACTTGGAGCCCCGCGCCTCCCACTTCTCAGCCTTTGCTCAGCAGGAAACAGTCTCCTTAGGGACTCCTCGGCAGACACCCATGCAGAGTTGAGTGTAGTTAGTGGAAATATTTCCTTTGGCCCTGAAACAATCAAAGCAGCAAGCCTGCTGCTGCCCCCCCCATCAGGCAGCATGTGTCTGTGTTGTATTCCCTAAAGCCAGGAATTGGGGAGGGGGAGAGCTGGTCCAGTGGTCGGCTAGCTCGGTAGGGAGGGCTCTGGGCGTGACTCAGAGTGTGCTGTGTTCTCATTGTCTCCTCACCTTTGCAGCTGGAAGATGTAGAGTGGGAGGACTGGGAATGAGGGAGCGAGAGCAAGCAGCTCCCCCACCCACGGCACATCCCACCTCGCTCGCTCGCTAGTCTCAGCTGGCCTTGGAAGACAGAGAATGTCCCCCCAAATGGCCCCTGCCATCCAGAACTTGGTACATATTCTGGTGGCTCCCTGCTGGCCCTCTGCTCACACCTTGGAAGAGCCTTTTCAAATACAGATCCAGAAGTCTGATTTGTGCCAACCTTAGGATGACCTAAGGGGAGGATGTACCCCATCACCGGAGAGCCTGCATTTCCCTGCTATTGTAGGGATTTCTACTGGGAGACCTGGAGGGGTAGCTGTCTCCTGCAGAGACAAGACCTGAAGCATTGGTCTCTTTGAAGACAACATGCACTACCCCGTAAGCTAGTAAGCCAGTAAGCCAGCAAGGAAGGCCATGCCACCTGCCCTTGGCTACACACAGGAACAGTGAACAGTGTTTTAGTTCCTGCCCCAATGAGGAAGAGGCAATCTCTCTGGGACATTTGCCTCTCCGGAATCTCCATCCCAACCATTTCTCACTCCTGCAAAGGTCCTATGGGGTTCAGATCTTAAGACCAAACCTCGACTCTATTCGAGCCCACACTGGGATATCCCTACACCTTCCCAGGGCTTTTCTGTCAGATGCACCCAAGTCCTTAGCCCATCTGTGCCACTGCAAGAGTCTGCTCTTGTATTTCTTTCCCTCCCCCGAAAGGGAGGGAGCCACTTTGAGGCCCTTTGGTGTGTTGCTTTGGTAGGATAACTGCTCCAAGCAGCTACCTGTCGTGAGTCCCATAGCTTTGGACACAAGCCAGCTATGAGCTGTATGTAGTGAGCAGAGATGAGTACTCACAGTCCAGCGCCAGGCCAGCTTCTCCTCAACCCTCTCTGTTCTTGAAGGGATATGCTGGGGCAAGCATCCTGAGACTCCTATCTCCTGCAGAGGCCCTCCTTCCTGAAGACAGCCTGGGGTTCTTACCCTCTTGAGACAGTGAGGGCCACATGAAGACCTGGTGCTGCACAGATGCCGCTCCAGTGATGCTGTCTGCTGGTGTATCTACCAGTGACTCATTTAAAGGAGCTTGGTCAGGGTGGCAGTGAATGGTGGGCACTGCAAACCTTCAGTGAAGGGGGTAGGGTGGACAGAATGCTAAATTTTTTTTTTTGATGGGATGGGTTTTTCTCTTTGTAATTATTTTAACCTTTTGGTTGTTTGTGCAATATTATATATTTTAAATTATAATGCATCTCCCCAGAGTATTTTGTAGCTGGGAAAAGAAAAAAAAAGTAAAGAAAAAATTCGAACAGCTGTTAGTTTTGTAATTAAAAAGGAAGAAAAATAAAAGAAGTTTGTCCTGAACCTTTTACAGATTTGCTGTAACAGCATTAAAGTTATTGAACAGAAGCCAGAAGTGTTTGGGGATGTTTCTGTCCCCCTTGGCAGAGGCTCTCACAATTTCAGGCATGACTTCCTGCCTGGACCTGGGAGCACAGGTGGGGTACAGCCTGGGTCCTAAGGATGCTCCTTGTCTCCTTCCTGACTCAACTTGGCCTCTAGTTTACAAAAGGGAAGGGCCCAAGCAGTTTCTCACCAAACCAAGGAGTCAGGTTTCCAAAAGCGTTTGCTTTTATTTGGAAAGCAAGTTGTAGCACCTGAGTGGTTCCAGGGTATCATGTTTCTCTCTTCACTTCTCCCTGCCCATTGATGATATTAGGGTCTAACTTAATGAGCGCTAACTAATCACCTATGAAAATCATTTGAGAGCCATTAATAAAAGAAAAATCTAAATAAGGCCCTTAGTTCCAGGAAGGTCTTTACAGGGAAGGTAAGAAGCCTGCGGGGCCGCAGTAAGGAGGTAGGAATGAGCTTGGGGACGAGAGCACTTAGTGTAAAATATAGATCACCATTTTAGAAGCGGGTTTTTCAGTTTGCTTTCTCCCCCTACTTTATTGGGGAGGACTTGCCATTGCTTTTATCAAGTGCTTGCTAGCCATGGGTGCCAACTAACTTCTTCGATTGAAGGCCGGAGTATCATATCTGGTTCCAGGAGCCGCTTGAGCAGGTCCTGGCATTCGGTTGAGATGCCCAGATGAGTGGGGAAGGACACCCCCTTCTGCTGCTGCCACAGCATCTTGGGGATATCTGTGTCATCAAAAGGTAGGCTTGCGCAGAGCATCACATACAGGACCACACCCATGCTCCAGACATCGCCTTTCTTGCTATCATGGGGTATGCCCTGTAGCACCTCAGGGGCGGCATAGGCTGTGCTGCCACAGAAGGTCTGGCTCAGCTCCCTGCATGACTTAGGTAGCACCTTGGCAAAGCCAAAGTCGGTCAGCTTCAGGTTGAAGCCCTGCAACAAGGCGTTCTCACACTTAAGGTCCCGGTGGGCCACGCCACAGCCATGGCAATAGCGAATAGCCTCAACCATCTGACGGAAGAGGGCCTTGGCCCGGCTCTCGGGAAGTGGCCCTCCATTCAGCACACAGTCAAAGACATCCCCTCCCTCAGCCAGTTCCATCACCAGGTAGATTTTTCCATCTGCTGACTCCAGCATCTCATACACCCGGATGATGTTTTTGTGGTCCAGGGTACGGACAATCTGGAGCTCCCGTGGCAGGAATCTCTGGATAAACTCTGAGGGAAAAAGTAGACAAAATCAAGATCAAAATGGCCTGGTTTCTCACTTTTGACTCCTGCTTTCCAGCTTCTGGACACCTACCACGTCTAGGTGCTCCTCCTTGACTCCCTGAACAGTCTCAGGTTGTCCCTAGCAGCAAGTATTTGCCTTTTATTATTTCATGATTGGCTCATCCTTGGAACAACCGCCCAGCAGCCTGCGAGACCACAGATGAGCTATTTGGGAAGTTCAAAGCTATTGAACCCAGTATTCTTTCCAGGGATTCAGTGTTCCTCTCCCTCTTCCACTGTGTGGCTCCAGTTCCTGCTGCCTTTGACCAACACCTCTTGGGACAGGAAAAACCGAGGACCCTTTCTTTACCTTGTGCTTTAATTGTGGATCTGGAAAGGTGTAAGGATCCTGGATTTTCCGCATCCTTCTATTTAGGGCAGTAATCTAACTTGCTTTCTGTCATTCTGACTCAAAGGGAAGAAGAGCTGGTCTGAGGGAAGCGCCTACCCATTTTGGCTAGCCCACCCTTCCTCCAAAAGGCCCCAGCTCACCTTCTGGCCCTCCCATCTTGTCTATAATTTTAATTGCCACTTTTCTTTGATGTTTTTTGGAAAATGCTTCTTTGACTTTTGAGTAGGTCCCTTCCCCAATGGTCTTGCCCAGCTGGTACCCATTGGAGAGTAGAAAGTCCTCCATGCTGTGTAGCGCCTCCTTCTTGTCACCCTCTCAGCTCATGCTGCCTCCGCGAGGCAGCTCTACTCCACCATCGCCCTTGGCCTGCTTCTTTTCCCCCCAAGGACTTCATTCACAGCTGCCTCCAGGGCTAGAACATTCTCCGTCTGGACACAGCCACAGGTGGTGGGGAGGGAGAGGACCAGACATTTTTAAACTCCTGCTCAATTGTGATGTAAATGCTGTGTGACCCTCAGACAACATGGGTGGGCAGTATCTCTACTTTCCCTCACCACCACCAGCAAACCCAGCATGGGTTAAGTCATTCTTGAGTAAGGCACCGAGTGGTAGCAGTGTTGGGGAACGGGCCTGGGTGGCTGCGTAGGTCAGGGATGCGGGCCTTCTCCATGTGGGCTCCGCTTCCAGGCAGGTCGCCCTCGCCTCCGAAGTCCCCATCCAGCTGTTGGGGAAGAGTGCAAACAGGTCACCAAGGTGCAGTCGCCAGAGCCCTCTGGCTTCAGGCCCGGGCCCTCACTAAATACCCGAACGCTCCGGGACTGCCTAGAATTCCAGCGAGGAACAGGCTGTGTGAGGTCAGCACGCAGAGACCCGGGTCACAATGCAGTCCTCCCCTTCGACGCTGGGGCCCGGGCGCGCAGCAGACACCTGCCAGGCTCCGCCTGGACCGGAGCGTCCTCCCGCGGCCAGGGCTCGGGCAGTTGCTTCCAGCCTGGGACCGGCCTCGGCCTCCGGCAGGTAAGCCACGACACAGGAGGCGGGCACGGGCAGGGAGCACCTAGGGTCCCGGAGCTGCCTGACCGCCACTCCTATACAGAGTGCCCCGGGGCCTGGACATGAGTGCCCAGGAGACCCCACAGGGTCGAAGATTCCCCATTGAGGCCGGAGACTCCCCTGGCCTTGCCTCCGCCCCCGAGTCCCAGGATAGCCCGGAGCCTGTAGCTACGGATCAAAACCCTGTCAGGTGAGGCCGTCACCCTACCCCTCGGCCCTGCCCCATCGCCATCCCCAGGGCCCTACCCCAAAGAACCCAGGCACATCCCCGGGCGCACCCCAACACTATGCGCCCCCTGTCGCCTGCCGCTTTCGCCAGGCCGCTCCGACGCTGCCCGGGCTGCCACTGTCTGACGCTGCTGCACGTGCCCATCGACGTCTACCTGGCCATGGGCGGGAGCCCCCGGGCCCGCGCTACCTGAGTGCGCCTGCGCACGGCAGCTCTGCAGGAGCCGGGACGGACGAGGCCAGCCGCGGGCCACCACGCTGAGGTCGCACGCGCCGAGCACGAGACAATGATGCACATTTTAAAATAAAAGAATGATGCACATTTTAATAAAGCACAGCATAAACTGTTCTTTCCACTCCGGGCTGGCCGTGTATGTGTATCCGTCGGATCGGGCCCACCGGCTTCTCTGACCCAGCCAGTATCATTTTCCTATCCCTTGGGCTACTTCCTCTCTTGGACTAACCCTCCACCAGCCTCCACTTCCCTACCCACCTCCCTCTAGGGGGTTGTCACCATCTTCCAGGTATTTCTTGGTAGTTACTGCCCTTTCCCCTTCACCCGCAGAAATCTCCGGTTGTCAATCTCCCTTTCCCTGTCTTGGGTTTGCCAATGAAATCTTCATTTCTCTGCGGAACACTGGCTGCTCAGAGCAGCTTGGGACAGAAGCAAGAAAGGGAAAGATGGATAGATGATGTAGAAAAAAATAATAAAAGACTGACCACAGCAACTCCATGTAACTCAAGCTAGAATTAGATTTGGCTCCCTGCTGTTCTTTGGCCTGCTGTAGGGGTCAGGGGATGGTCCCTGGACTTTTGGTTCCTCTAAGACCAACGGAGTTACTGAAAAGAAAGTTATTTGAAAAATATGTCATATATATATATATATATATATATATATATATATATATATATATATATAATTTTTATGGGCATGAATGTTTTGGCGGGATCTATGTGCATGTACCAGCATATGCCTGTTGAATACTCTGGAACTAAAGTCAAGGATGTTTTTGAACCACTGTGGTTGCTGGAAATCACACCTGAATTCTTTGTAAAGACAACTGCTTTAAGCCACCTCTCCAAACCCCACCCCTACCCCCAATTTTCTTCTTTTCTGACTGGCCTAGAACTCACTTTGTGGACAAGGCTGGCTCTGAACTCAAGAGATTCACCTTCCTCTATTTCCTGAGTGCTCAGATTAAAGGCATACACCACCATGCCCGTCCTAAGTTTCTTAATTACCTATTTCATAAACGAGGAATTAAAGGACATCCCCAAGGTTCCCCTGATAACAAGTTATGCTGGGACATAAAACTATTCTATTTCCTTACACTAAATCCCTTGAACCACTCCCCTCAAGCAGAAGCCATGACAGGAAGGGTCCTAAGAAAGGAGCCTATTTAAGTAGAACACATTCTAATCTGCTGTTGTTCTGTACGTATAAAGATGGCAGTTTTTTTGCAAGAGAATCTTTTGTAGCCCAGGCTGGCCTCTAACTTTGATCTCCCTGACTCAACCTCTCAGGAAAAGCACAGGTCTGCACCACAACATCAGGCTTTAGAGTTTGCTGTGGTTTTTTAAAATTATTATTCTCTTTAAATATGAAGCTATGTAACCCAAAGGTCTACTTCAATCTCCAGTCCCTTGAGACCTAAAATAAATGGCTGAAATACCTCTCTACTGACCCACATGAAGCGGAGTGCAAGCCCCTTTTTAGGATACTTCAGATCTATGGTCATCTGAAAAAGGCAATTTTTTGTTTATTAGAAAAAAATTAAACAAAACCATACAGGATCTCATATAGCCCAGTATGACTTCAAACTCACTAGGTAGCTAAGGCTGGCCATAGGCCTGTGCCATAGGCTTGTGATGCCTTGCCCGGTTTTATTCAGTGCTGGGGATCCAGGCCATGAATTTGCACCTCCTAAGTAAGTGATCTACCCACCTGAGCCTTTTAAAAATAGTTTTTAAAATGAGTTTAGGGGCTGAGGATTTAGCTCAGTGGTAGAGGCCCAGGGTTCAGTCCTCAGCTCTGAAAAAAAAAAAGACTGGTTTATTTTTATTTTGTATCTATTGATATTGTGGTAGTTTAGATATGTTTGGCCCAGGGAGTGGCACTCTTAGGAGGTGTGACCTTTTTGGAGTGTGTGAAGCCTTTCTTGGAGGAAGTGTGTCACTATGGGGGTGGTATTTGGGACCCTCCTCCTAGCTATTTGAAAACAGTCTTCTGTCTGCCTTTGGATCAAGATGTAGAACTTTTGGCTCCCCCGGCCTCATGTCTGCCTGGACACTGTCATGCTCCTGCCTTCATGATAATAGACTGAACCTCTGAACCTGTAAGCCAGCCCCAATTAAATGCTGTCCTTTCTAAGAGTTGCCTTGGTCATGGTATCTCTTCACAGCAGTGGAAACCCTAACTGAAGCATGTTTTGCCAGCATTGCGTGTCTGCTCACTTCATTCATGAACTGTCCACCAAGGTCAGAAGAGGGTGTTAGAAGCCCTGTAACTGGAATTACAGGCAGTTGTAAGCCACTGTGTGTATTCTGAGGATCAAATACAGAACTTCAGGAAGAGCAGCCAGTACTCATAACTGCTGAGCCATCTTTCCAACCCCTCCCCTTTTTTAAAGCAGGTTTTCTGTGCAGTACAGGCTAGCCTGGCACTCAGCATCTTCCTACAACATCCTCAGGGCTGGGACAGCAGTGCACACCACACGCAGCTAAAGCACTTTCATTGGTTTCCACACAAAAAGCTCCCCCTCCCAAGTGGTCCTTAAATGCTGAGCTCTATGGACTCATCCAACCCTGAAATCCTGAATCCATCCCATCCTCTCTTTTTCCTCTCATCTCTGGTACTTCCTTCCCTGCCCCACCCTCTTCTAGGCCTTCTTTTTCTTTAAAAAGACCATAAAGAAAAAAATAAAGCTCAAAAAAATAAACTCTATAAAATAAACATATCCTGCCACCTCCTATGCACTTGGTTTGCATGACTTCAGGCACTGATCTTGCTAGGCAGGCCATGGCGCTGGCTAGCTCGCTAGCTCTAGAATGTCAGGGAGCCAGGGAAAGGGGCATTCCAGCCAAAGGCTTTAAGGCAAGAAGGTGAAAGGCAAGATCAGGAATTAAGATTTTACCACTCAAGTTGGGAGCAAGCTCATGCTGAGAGTCCAACCTAATGCAGAACAGGTTAGCAGAAAAGGCACACCAAAAAAGCCCAGAGGCCCGAGCTCAGGGAGTTTGAACTTGGTTCTGCAGATAGCAGACTAAGCCAGCCTCCGTTCTCCTGTTTCTATTTCCCATTCTATTCTGGTCCTTCTTTCCACGGAGGAAAGCCTCTGGCTTCAATCCAATCCTGAGTTCAAGTCCTGTCCTTGCTGTTTTCTGACTGTAGGGGCCCTATACCTAAGCCTCTCTGAGCTTCCACGCCTGTATCTGGAAAGGGGTTTATGTCACCTTCTGCATGGCTTTGGTAAGGTCGTGTCTGTATAGTACCCGGCAGGAGGCCAGATTCCACTATCCTTTGAAAACAGTGAGGTTGCAAACTGCTGCTACTCTGACCTTTGACTTCAAGGGGGCAGCAGAGAGCCAGGCAGCCAAGGACACTGTCACCACACTGCAGAGGGATGGATCTGGAACCTAGGAAATTAGGGAAGGGACAGCTTCTACAAGAATCCCTAGCTGGTGAGGTGCTGCTGAATTCCTCATTCTCAAGGGTAGAGCTGGCCAGAGACCTCCTGGTCCCAAGCCTTATTCTCTGGGCCTGAGCAATGAGAAGGGACCCAGAAAAAGATGTTTGAATCACTGCCTTCTCTCTCAGATACCTTATTAACTGGCCCCTCCCGAAGGGACCCCCTTTTAGAAGGAGGGGGCGAATCGAAGTACAGATGGACCCCCCAGGTTTCCATGGAGATGGCAGGGAAAGGGTTGCTTTATCACCATGGCAACAATTGACGTCAGCACTATTTCCCATCTCTCGATATGAGAAGGGGGGCAGCCACCCCAACCACAAGCAATCCCCCACAAAGCCTCCTCCCTTTGCTGAGCCAATCAACTGAAGGGTGGACAGGCTTAATATAGCATAGGAGGTAAGACGCACAGGCTCTGATGTCCGTCAAACCTCAGTTCAAATCCTCACTCTGCCTCCTCCTAGCTGTGTAACTCTGAGCAGACTCCTTAACCCCTTCAAGCTTCTTGGGTACCAGGATAGCCTCCCTCCAAGAGCTGCAGAGCTGCAGGAGGTGCAGGCCACACACTGGGACTAGACCATGGGAAGTGCACACTGACAGCGTCTCCTCCTGGGATCTGTCAGGAAGGACTTACAGACCTGGACTCTATTAATCCTAGAGGGGGCCCCTGGATGATCATGGACCAGACCCCAGGATGCGTGCTCTTGACGCAGTCAGAGCCAGTGGAATTTCCAGGCTCTGAGGAAACCACAGATGTCACTTTCCCTGAAGCCCATCACATCCGGGCTTTGACCCAGCTTCCTCTTTCTCCTCCTCCCCTATGCCCTGTACTAAGCCTTGTCAGCAGCCTTCGACTTCCTGAGCCTCAGTCTACTTCTATAGGAAAAAAGATGAATGGGAGACCACAGGAAGCCAGGGGCCAACCCAGTAGCAATAGCAGATTGGACAGCTTGGGGAAACGGTGTTCCCACGCCCACTGCCCTTTCCTGACCACCACTGAGGACTGAGCCACAGAGGTACCGTTCTGGCCCGTTTCCTCAACCTCCAGTCCAGGCAGACGGGTCCTGTCCACACTGCCCTGGCGCCATTCTGAGGGAGACCCCACCAGCCGTCCAAACTCCTCAGGCAGCCGTCCTAAGCACTGCCAGCTTCCTTCTTGCTTGGTTTTTCCGTTCTACAGCCCCAGTGGAATTGCTTCTACTTAAATCTCTTCAGTGGCTTTATGGCACATTAGATACCAGGCAGCTCCCCCCCCACACACACACACACAAAGCAATCTTCCTTTTTTTGAGAGAGGGGGGCAGGGGAGGTAGAGGGTTCTTTATGTAGACCAGGCTGGCCTCAAACTCAAAAGATCCACCTGCTACTGCCTCCTGAGTACTGGGATCAAAGACTTGAGAGACTGTGCCCAGCCTGCCTTGTATTTTTTGTTTTAGCTTCTTACCTTTAGGCGCTTGTACCTTAGGGCTGGAATGGCTTCTCTTAGATGTCCACTTACCCCTCAGATCTCTGCCAGCCTTTACCTCTCAGGAAAGGCTACCCTGACCACCACCTCTTTCTTGTTCTGTTTAGTGCTAGTCTGTGTGCTCACTGAGGCATGGGGCTCTGCTACATTCACCCTAACATTGCTGGGGCCTGGTGTGGGAGGGCTCCCAGGTCTGCGGACTAGA